AATCTCCTCATTGATTACTTTTCATCGGTTTCTCACCAGTCCAAAAGGATCAACCTGGCTGGCAGGACAAAGGACTACGAGGGTACAGGTAACCATAAGCCAACATTATTGAGGACTTTCTAAGCCTTGAGAGGCTGGACACCCATAAGTCAGTGGCCCCTGATGGAAAGCACCCAAGATTGATAGAAGAGTTGGCCGATATCATAGCTCAACCATTGGCACAGATATCTGAGAACTGTTGGCTCTCAGGAGAGGTTTCTGAAGACTGAAAGAGGGCCAATGTGGTGCCTATCTTCAAGAAAGGAAGGAAGGAAGATCCAGGGAACTACCGGCCAATCAGTTTGACCTCAATCCCTGGGAAGATCTTGGAAAAAATTATCAAAGAATCCATCAACAACAGGCTGACAGAAGGCGCCTTTCTGAGAGACAGCCAATGCGGCTTTGTTATAGGTAGGTTGTGCCTGACCAATCTCATCTCCTTCTATGACCAGGTGGCATGTCACTTGGATGGGGGGGAGGTTGATGTCATTTACCTGGATTTCAAAAAAGCCTTTGATTTGGTCTCCCGTTATGTCTTCATGGCAAAATTGGCGAACTGCAGCCTCAACAATCTTATCTTCCGATGGCTGGGGAATTGGCTCCATAGTCAGACCCAGAGATTGATAGTCAATGGAACCGAGTCAGGATGCTGTATGGTGACCAGTGGCGTCCCTCAGGGTTCAGTACTCAGACCAGTACTCTTTAATATATTTATTAATGATCTGGATTTGGGTGTCAGAAGTGGACTGGCTAAGTTTGCAGATGACACCAAACTATGGATAGGCTGAGGATTCCGGCCAACCTGGATAGGCTTGCAAGGTGGGAGGATCAAAACCTGATGACATTCCCCATAGAGAAATACAAGGTGCTCCACCTCAGGAGAAAGCACCCATATCATACCTATAGGCTCGGTAGTGCTCCACTCACTAGCACCAGGACCAAAAGAGACTTGGGGATTGTGATTGACCACAAGATGAATATGAGCCACCAGTGCAATGCCACAGCTGGAACAGCAAATAAAATCCTGATGTGTATCTACTGATGCATCTCAAGCAAGACCCAAGATGTCATTCTTCCACTTTACTCGGCCTTGGTGATGCCACAGCTGGAGTACTGCATCCAGTTCTGGGCTCCACACTTTAAAAAGGATGTAGAGAAGCTTGAGAGGGTCTAGAGGAGAGCTACGCACATGGTCAGAGGTCAAGAGAGCAGGCCTTATGAGGAGACGCTAAGAGGCATGGGACTCTTCAGATTGGAAAAGTGTAAGCTCAGGGGGAACTTGGTGGCAATCTATAAGTATATTAGAGGTGTACATTAGGATCTGGGAGAATATCTGTTTACCAGGACACCCCAAGGGAAAACAAAGTCCAATGGTCACAAACTGCTGGAAGACCATTTTAGACTAGACATAAGGAAAACCTCTTTACCTCCCGAGTCTCCAGAGTCTGGAACAGACTCTCCGCAGAAGTGGTGCAAGCACCTACTCTGGACACGTTCAAGATGCATTTGAATGATTATCTTGCTAGGGTCATCTGACCCCAGTTGACTTCCTGCCCTTTGGGCAGGGGGCTGGACAAGATGATCTTGTGAGGTCCCTTCCAGCCCTAATGTCAATGCAATCTATTAAATTACAATCAGTCCTAAGAAAATAACAGAAACCCTCCTAGCACCCCTGAGGAAATGTATAGGTGATGTCTTAGTATAACTTTAGTTTGAGACGCTAATTACAAAGACATATCATGGTAAAGTCAGTGAAAGCAGATGACAGTCTAGTAGGTTTACAAAATAGCTTAATCATGGGGCTCAAGGTCAACACTTTTTGAAAAGGCAAGTCACCAAATGCAGGAAGACATTTGTATGCAGTAAGACATTTATGATAGATTCCTAAGATTACTAGTCTTATGAGTCCTCTGGAAATATGCAGGTTCCTATCCTGACCTAGATTTCAATTCAATCCTTTATCTATTAAGGATTCTGGCTGGAAGCCATGCTCCCAAAAACAACATAACAGATATACAACCATAATATAAATTTAAACAAAAATAACAGAAATGCAAATATAATAATAAAATAGAGCCAACCATTATAAAAACATTATTCCTTAACATAATCAAATACAAATATAGTGCTAAATCAGATCATGAATCTATACAAATGTGGTGCATAGGTTCACAATTAATACAGTAAAAAACAAATATAGTGATAAAGTTTATTGGTCATATAAACAGTAAAGGATGTTTAGCTCTGATCGTTTCAGCCTTACAAGCAAAAATTGCTAGATAATTTACTAAATATGTATATGTTTGCTGGAGGAGCCATATTCATTTCTCTCTATTTGAGAAGTATGTCATTTTCTGCAATAACGGTGATAAATGCTTTCTCCTTATGTCGTGACCTAGATTTATGGACAAGTCCTAACAGAATCATCTATCAGCTTCACAACTGATAGGACTCTTCCTTTCCCAACTAAAAGTATTTTCTCACCACCTATCAAAGGATGATTTGAATCTTGACACAATTTCTAAAAAGCATTATGTAAAACATGGTAGTTCTATAAACAGGCCTCCATCTTTAAAACCACTCATCTTCCTCCTATGTTAGGAAATGGCAACTAGTTGACCTACTGGTTGATTCCAAAATTCCTAAGGAAGTAGAAGTGGATGCTAGATCTGGGCAGAACCCATAGAGGAAAAAATGAGTACAGCCGAGACATTCAAAGCCTTAAATCCAACTCACTTCATTACTATGCACTCTGATAAAATCAGCCATTTTGCAAAAGAAGATACACATCTATAAGGAAGTCTGTTAGTTAAAACAAGGTATTCCATCCATGCTGTCTCTGTGTCTTAACTCTATATTCCTGTTAATGCAACATTTAGTAAAAGGGTGTTATGGCACAGTGTACTCCAGTAGCCTTTAAGTTACTTTTCAATTTTACATGGATAAATTCAATCTTCTTCCTAGGGACAATTTACTACTTACTACATGCCACTTCGTAGACTGTCTGCTTTGAAGGGAACCAAGAAAACAGTGAAAATTCTGTCTAACTTTACCATCTAATTTTCTTTGTAAAAGCCTCTCTGTCAGACAGCTTAAACCTCCCTTCAAGGACCCCATTATTTCTTGGTTTGTAGTTGTTGCTGTTTTCTCCGGTTATTGTTTGTTTGGTAAGGAGTTTGAAAAACAATAGTGTATTTATTTCTCCAGGAAAATCGTAAAGTTCAAGTCAAGGCTCTGTTGCAGATGGTTTGAGTTTAAATTTTTAATTAGGTATTATTTTTCAGTTTAGGAAGAACTCTTCAAAACTATACCTCTCAAGCAGACAATCCTAATTCCAAGTTTAAAGTGAAGACCTGGTATAGTTCCAGCTGCCACAGAGATGTGACATGCCCATAATGAAAACTATCTGACATGAAGGAAAATTCACAGGTGAAACAGAATTTTTCCCATTATTCATCCCATTTTAAAGTTAAATCAAATGCGAGGAAAAAATATTTTTAAAAAGCTTTTTTATGTCATTTTGTGCTTTATCACCATTCTATAAGCTAATAAATATGCAGTACTACTGTTATTATATCAGTGCATTCAGAACAATCTATTATCCACTCTTCAAAAACAGAACATATCATTGTATTGATTTAACATTAGAAATATTATATCATAATTATTAATAGTATACTTAAATATCTCCAGAATTTTAACAACTATAATTACTATATACAATTCAGTACAATGCATCTAACTGTCCATTTGCACATAGAATCACTGTAAATGTCTGATTCAGTTCATACTAAGGTCACTTGGAAGTTTCAGGGACTCAGATGAAGTCACTCAGATATTATGCATTAGGAAGCTGTAAATGAATAGGCAGACAGATATGTGAAATTGAATTGGTTTATAATTTCAGCACAAATTAGGACTCAGATCCTGCAAGCACTCACTCACTTTAACAGAAGACTAAAGAAGATACATGACTTCAATGAGGGCATAATATATAAACAATAGGGTTATATAAGCACAACTGCAAGACATAATTTAATCTGATGAACCTTTCCTATTGGTGATAAAAGACCCTGCTTGATTACTGGAATCTAGAAATAGTTGTCAAGGCCAACAGTTAGGGGAAAAATCTCATATAAATAGCTTTGTTTATGATTCTAAAACAGGAGAAGGCTCTTTAATACTCTTGAATATTTAGTGCATTTACTATTCCATGCACAAATATGTCATAGCATTTAGGCTTTTCTGTGTCTAGTTACTAGTTTAAGCCATTAAAATACTGAAAAAATAGTACATTATAATATCACTGTAACAACTAAACTAAAAATCGTGTCATGAACAATATGTTTGAAACAGTAGTAAAAGAAACCAGTAATACAATGAAGCTTGCAAAAACTAAGCTTAGTTCAACTGTCTCTACACCAAATGCTAGTAATGCTTAAATGATTCATTTTATACCACATAGCATCAATAGTGTAACTAGTACAGTTTGTACCCTAAGCTAGCAACCTCCCTTTTCTACCCTGCTCCTTTTCCTCTTGAATTGTTTCTCTGCAACACCCAAGCCATCTGCTCCAACCCTCCCTGCTCTGTACCAAGGGCTGCTTTCTTGCTCTCACACACCCTACAGCAACTGCCACCCTTTATCCTTGTTGGCATTTCCTATCACCACCAACTGCCACAAGCAGCAAAATCAGAGGCAAGAGGGAAGGAGGGAGTAGAAAGGGCTGGGGCAGCAACAGGAAACTTGCAAGCTTGACCCCAGCCACTGATTCCCGTCACCATCAACTGCTGCAAGCTGTGAATTTAGTGGCAAGAAAAGCAGCACAAAAAAGAGAGAGCACACAGCAGGACAAGGTGGAGGGGACCCTCTAGGTCAGCACCATGAGCTAGTGCCCCAATCTCCCACATCTAGTTATGCTACTACAGTCTACCACACTTTTCTATAATAACATGCGAAAATGTGTAAAAAAACTGGTATTGATATAGTCAGTCAACTAGTATGTATGGAGTATTATCTACTCTGAATGAATGTAACCATATACATGGGTTGTTTTCATTGAGGTAATCATAAAGATAGTACAAGAGGTGAGGCCAGGCAAAAGTTTGTTCTGTATCCAAAGGAAGACCACATTGCAGTCAATGGCTTGGAGCTGTTAAGGATAAAACTTCTATTTTGCCAAGATTCATATCCTCTGATAATGGAGCATATCGATGGCAGAAGATCACTGGGATTGTGTTAACGCATCCTACTGCTTATTTTTTCTCAAAAGGCATTCCTTTGAAACAAGTATGTTGTAGAAAGTGGATACTGTATGAAAGAAATATAGTTACTTCAAGAACCCTCCAGAAATATGAAAGGATAGTTGGTTGCAGTATTTACTGGCAGAAGACCAGCTATCTACATACCACAATATAAAATGTCACTGTTTTAGACCAAAAGTCAAATCTCAAATTGAGACTGAAACAGAAAAATAGTTATTTTTTAAATCAGCTTTATGAAAACAAGGCCATTCAACTGGCACACTGCATTTCCCACTTCCCTAATCTGTACCACAAAAATCCATAACTCAGAAAGTCATAAAACTCCCATCTGGAACTACTTCAGATGCACTGTTAATCTAGTTAGGTTCCTCTGCCGTCTTCTGTCCTAACCACATACATGTATCTTGCTGTGAGTTTTTTTTGCTTGAGTCTTCCAGGACAGACATGGAGAGCTTATTTTTTTCCCAGGCAACCATAGCAAACCTTGGGTCCACCTGTATGACTAGTCATTCCAGCATTATTAGAATGGTCCAATTGTCCTGAAGAGTCAAGACCTCTCTTTTTTAGCATATGCCTAGTATAACAAGGCGCCAAGGCCCTTGTTACTTTAAGATGGGAGAGTAACAGTTGAGAGCTGCATTTTGATGGGGGGAGGCTGAGCTTAGGCCAGCAACTGAATAGGCAGCTCATCTGTGCAAGCTGCAGCGGAGAGAATCAGGCAGCTCACTTAGCTCAAGGGAGATACCTGAAAGGGGAGGTGCTCACAGAGATAAAAGCTCAACCCTGGGCCAGAGCAGTCAGTCTAGCTCTGATCCCTTGATGGTGAGGATCTCCTACCTGCAGGAGTAGCTTCAGGGAAGCTGAAAGCTTAGAGAGTGGCTTGCAGCATGTAGAGACTGGAGCATGTGGCCACCGGAGTGGCTTGCAGCATGTAGAGACATCGGTCATATTAGAGACTGATGGTTTATGTTTGTATTTTGTGTATAAGTAATAGGAGGACTGGATTGTGGCTGTATGGATGGGGTGGAAATCACAGCGAGGGTGTGCCTAAGTAGGACTTTGTGTTTGAGCCTTGGAAGGGCAGGGGCCTAGAGGGTGGACAGCAAGCAGAGGGGTCAGAGACTGGTCAATGCCCACAAAGCCAGACAGAATTGGAGGCAAAGGTGCAGCTATGGGGGACAATAGAGACCATGATTAGAGCCCTTAAGGCATAATTAAGTCCAAGAGGGCCACAATTTAGTGCCTTAAGGTGATTAAGGCCTGTAGAGCCAGGATCTGTGCAGAGAGCAAGCTTAGTGCCAGCAGAGCACAAGTAGAGCAAGGAAATGAGTAATGCAATTTGGTCAGTGGACAGAGGGTCTGGCAAAGTGAAGTGAATGTGGCCTGCCTCAAAGTGGCCAAGAGAATCCTCCTCCAGGTTAAAAATTACATAGATCATTATTATTTTTATTTCAGTTGTGACCAGAGAACCCAGTTAAGTATGGGCTCCACTGGTCACCATAAAAAAGATAATAGAAGAGTACCCTTATCCAGAAAACTTTAAATCCAGGGTGTGACAGAGCACCTTTGGTGCCTGTCACCTTAAGGGCCAGAGCAGGCAGTAAGACATCTTGCAGATGCAGGCCAGGCCTGATGAGGGGATTACATGACCACAGGAGAGCCAGCTGATTGGAGGGGAGGGCTGAGCGGACTCCATGTTTTCTCAGGCCCGAGCCAGTAGTCTGCTGCTGGCAGCTAGAAAGGCACTACCTGGCAGAGCAGCTGCACAGGAACACCTTAGAGGTAAGGGCAGGAGCTATGGGGATGGCAGGAGGCTCCTGGCCCTGGGTATGACTTGAAACTGCACCCTGCTGGGAAAGGATGGCTTGGTGGGGCTGCCTATGGCGGAGCAGCTCCCCAGAAATACCAGGCCAGTTGCCTCCCCAGTGAAAGGCAGGTAGGGGTGCCTTATAACCCCAGCCACATTACTCAGTGGTTATAGAACAGACAATGGGGCCAGGCCTGCCTACAGAGCGGAACCTGAGCCCCTGGAGGTATAAGACCCCAAGTCCCAAGAACGGGGCATAGAGTTGGCCCCAGTGAGGGGGTAGAAAGTGGCCCCAGGAAGGGGAGCAGGAATATGTAGAGAGGCCTGCACAGAGTAGGGTTCACCAAGGCGGGCCTGAAGAGCTATGTGTAACAGGTGTAGAATGGGGCTTGCTGAAGCAAGTCTGAAGGACTGCATCAGGACATGCAGAGTAGGATCAGCTGAGGTGGGCCTGAAGAGCTGCACATAAGCCAGCCAAAAAAAGCATTAGTAAGAGCCAGTTGCCTGGAGAGGGTCTAGTGGCTACAGTCAACCTAGTGTTTAGGTGTAAGGACCATTGCCACATAGAGTGGGTGCATGAGGCACTAGAAGGACTGCGTGGGATCGCCCAGAGTGTAAGTAGGCAAGCCTGATGGCTCACCTAAGGCTGTTCATGCAACAGGGTGGGTTGTGTGTGACCCTAGAAACTACTAGTCTGCTAGAAACTACCAGTCTGCCCAGCAACTAGTAATGCATTTCAAATTGGTTGGCTGACAGCCAACAGGTGCTGGCCTCCGTTGGACCAGATAAATGATGTCATAAGGGCTATATAAGTTAAGGACTGCCCAGGAGGAGGAGGCAGCAGCTATGAGGAAGACTCAGAGAGAGAGAGAGAAGAGCTGAACCGTCTGAAACATGCTCTCTCTCTCAAAACTTATGATCAAGGAACCAGACAGAGGGGAATCTCCACCTGCCTCTGGATGATACTTGTGAGTAAGCCACCTGAGATCTAACTAGATATACAGCTTGTAGTAACTCAGAGGCATGATCAAAGGCTACCAGCCATGCCAGTTTGCTCTATGGGATTTCTCTGATATTGCTCTACCCTGTACCCTATTCTAACCCTACCCCTTGTAACCAATAAAGTTCTCCTTTGTACCTAGCATGGGAAACTTATTGTGTGTGGGTCTAGATTATGCCTTGGGGTCCCCTTGGTTCGGCTGACTAAGGGAGACCACTACTTGTGCTTCTGACTGAGAGAAGCACCCCCAAGTGCTTGAAGTGAGTCAAGTACCCTCGAGGGCTACTAGGCCTGTGTTTCCCAGTGTGTACAGAGCCAGAATCAAGCCCAGCCCTGGGTGGTGGCAGTTTTTACCCCAGGCTAGTGGGTGTGCTCCAGGAAGGGGGTCAGCCAGATGTGAGGCACCCCCAGGGAGGCACTCAGAGCCTGGAAGGTGGTTGGGCGCAGCGAGGTGGGTGGCTCAACGCAGGAGCACCCGCTACTGGCCTGCCACAGTGACCAGCCATGAGTAGGCTTCTTTATCATACAGAGTAAAACAAAATTCAATGAGGGTAACAAATACAGGTAATTTAGGAAAGAATACAAGAGTAGACATTGTTGTAAGAAGTGATTGTTTGGATGTGTAGTCATGCATCATTTGCATACTTAAAATCTTTTTTTTTTCTGTCTCTTTTTAAAAGAAAGAGATGAACAATATCCATAATCTCTGTAGACAACTTGCCTTGTGGTTGTTAATATTCGAAGACAGTTACAGTAACTCTGGCACATGATCTGAGTAGAGGAGAGACACCAATTAATTTGTGAAGATTGAATAAATGCTTACTATCTCATGGGTCAAACAAAACGATGTGTAGTTAAAGGAAATAAACAGCCACTACATATATGGAACCTAGTAAATGAGCCAAACTATAAAACCCAAACATTGGCTCCAAGTAGTAACTGCTGTAAAAATGTTTCCAGTTCAGATAACTTGACTTTTCAGCACCTTTTTAATATGAATGGCCATGAAGTGCTGATACTCCATCTGTTGACATTGCCGGGCAATATGGCATGACACTCCAACAGCTCCAATTACTCCTCTCCAATTGAAGGTTGTATCCAACGCTGCAAGTGCATTCGATACCATCAGGCACAGGAGCCAGAGCTCTTTAGTACTTGGTCTTATGTGAAGACAGCTTGGCCAGAACATGTACCCACATCTGCAAGCCACTCTTCTGTTCTTTCCTGCCATGTCTTGATCTTATCGGATAAGTAGAAGGCTCCCAATGTCACTGGTGCTACTCTAGTGGGTCCATGGATTTCTCTCACAGGGCTCCTGCCTCCCCTTCACCCCATCCATACACCAACCAGGTGTTTCCAAAGTGAAAAACTGATTGTAAAACAAGAGAAAGTAAAAGAAATACATTCTGTACACCTGACACCCAGTCAGGGTTGTCAAAATATCCAAGTAAGGTTTTAGAGCCTCAGGGCTTGACTCTCCGTCAGGTTTACTTTGGCCCTTCTGCCAATTCTTACATGGTCCTTAACTCACATTTAGACAATAAGTAAGTCCACCCCAGACAGGGCTTTCCCCATTGTCAAATAGTCCGGCCAAATGGATAAAGAAGCAACAATGAAAAACATAAAACGCTTGGACCTTCTGGTCCCTTAACTTAGATTTGAGCTCCAATCCTCTACCCTCAGTCCATCTCTTGTCCACTCCTGGTCATGGTGACTCCCCGTCACCTGTCCAAAATACTGGCCACCTTCTGCCGGGTACTCTTCCGAGTGCCCCGGTTTCAAGTGTGCTCTCCCTCCAGCGCAGGGACTGCCCACAGGATGCTGGGCTCATAGTAACCCTGCAGCCCTGTTCCTGCTGCTGGCTGTCCCTGCTGCACCAGCCTTTTTCCACAAGCCAGTGCTGAGCTTCCAGTTATACCAGAAGCTGC